TTCTGCTCCTCAGCCTAAGGGCAAGGGTGGGGAGAGACAGGGTAGGAAAGTTGTGCTGAACCAAATGTTGGCAAATAAAAGTCATCCTTTATCTTCTTACTTTCTTTGTCCTATCTGTAAGGAAATATTTTGTAGGTTGTAGAGAGGCAGTTGCAGCATACCTCCACGGATGGGATCCTTGAGTTTATACACGTTGCTATGAGTGATGAAAGCAAATTCCCATGCACAACATACTCAAGAGGTCTACCATACCAACACTTTTAATCATCTTGCGTGCATGTGTGTGTGTGTGTGTATAATTTTCTGAAGGGGTTTTTTACACTTTAGATTTCAATCCTCCATTGTGAGTAATGTTCTCACCTGAGTTCAATGGAAAGTTTTAAAGGGCCCTACTGTCTTTCTACCAAGACCAGTGAAATGTTGAAGAATAACATTTAAGTGTTTATTTAACACTGGAACTCACTATACTGCTCTCTCTTAATTTTCTTAATCAGATATTAAAAAAATTAAAAATATATGCTCTTTGTAAGAAGTCACAGATTACAGATATATAAAGAATTAAGCTTCTCTGTTTACTCCCTTCCTGCTCACTTCCTCAACGAATCCAATACTATCAGTCTGGTGATTATATGCCCGTCTCTTACTATGCTCATTCATACATAAATAAACATATAAGCTCCTGGCCTCCACCAACATTTTTAGAAAAACAGGATCATAACTCACACATCACTGTTTACCATGAATCAACATATTATGGCCACAATGTCAGTTCAGATTAGCAAAACTAGTGTTATCTGTCACTGTAATCATAACATTGGGAATAATGATTACCGTGGTAACTTCATTTTAATGTTAAGACTAGAATTACTATGTAATTTACCTACATTTATAGTAGATTCCATGTAGACCTAGTAGTTTTTTTAAACAGAGTAGGTATTCAAGATATATGCTGGATTGAAGAGAAGAATAAAAATACAGAGATGGCTAAACATTATAAAGTTTTTCAAGACCTTTGATGATATATCTCAAATAAAGCAAAGTAAAATGAAAGAGCCAAGAATGGGCTGTAAGACTGATGATGTTTTTAAAAGTTACAACTTTTAAAAGTGTGTGCTTTTATTATTATATAAAATACGTAATTGTCCCATGAAATTATTTCAACAAAAAACGAACTTAAGTGCTGATTATAGGATACATTAGTACTTAGGAAATTATTTCAACAAAAGCACAATTAAATACTAAGTGAAAGTAGGGAACATTAATAAAATTGAGGTTAAATTCCTGTGAACTTTGTCTTTCTATATACACAATTGCTTTGCCAATAATTAATTTAAAATACTATTTTCCACAAAGCTGTCTGAAAATCTAAAACAACCTCATAAGGAAGAAAAAGCCTTCTGGGTAGTTGCAAGTAAAAGTCTGATTTTTCTGTTAAAGGTTATACATTTTAATATGATATTCTGATTGATTTATGTAAAGCTTTGGATTTTTCATTTTCTCAAGCCTGTCACTGCAGTGATGTACGGTACATTTTACTACCAAGTTTGCCATAAGCAATAAAGTCGGGGCCCCAAAGAAATTTTAATATATTTCTCCATTTTTATCCCACAGCTTTCTATTATTCAGTTATTTTGTTTAGAATCCCAGTTTAGTTGATATCATTTTTACATTCATATAAATAATTTAAGATTTTAACTTAAAGGTAAAATTTAAGTGGATTAATTATTTAATAGAAAAGTTTAAGGGTCATCATATGTAAAGTGAAAGTCTAAATGATAAATCAAAATTTACACTAACAATATTTTTAAATGTTTTATTTTATATTCTAGTTTGCTTAAAGCATTTTTCTCTAACAAGATAAATGAAAAAAAAGGAACTAATTAAATGTCATATAATGTGAAATGGAGACACACCTGTAAGATTCTTTATGAATAAAAAAAAAGTATGAAAATAACAACCAAATAAATTAAAAAGTTCTTATTGTAGAACTAATAGCTGTTACAGAGGTTATGAAGATGAAAATGGAACAGTAATCAAGACATCTGTATGTAACCTAGTAGAAAGAATAAGTCCTTAAACAACTATAACTAACATAAAGCAGAATAAATAAGGTTATTTGCAACAAGAAAGGAAGAGAAACAAATTGACAGGGCAGTTGATCTCTTGTGACTAAAGGTATAAGAGTATTTGAGTTCAATCTTGCATAGTCTGTAGGATTAAGTAGTTAAGGAGAAAAGAAGAAAGGAAAGCTGGTAGGACAGAACAAAGCAAGGAAGGAGAGAAGCAAAGGCATAATCAGGGAGTGGCCATTGGTTCAGTATTACTAGAGCAAAGTGGACATGTAGGGGAATCCTGGGAGCAGGAATGAAAAAGGATGCTATGGCCATATGTCAGATAGCCTTCCATTCATGGCTAATCATCTTATTCACTTAGAAAATAATGAAGCACTATTGTGGAATTTTGCGCAGGGAGTCATACACTAAAAAGAAAACCTATATGGCAGTGAAACTGAATATAGAGAATATGAAAGCAAGGATTTGAATTAGTTGTATCTTGTCCAAGAGCTGGGCAACACACAAATTTAATGAGCGATAAGCATGGGGATAGAAATATGTAAGATACATATTAGGACTAGAATATAAAAGATTAGATAATCTGTTGAATATTCATAGTAAATGAGAGGATAGCTTAAGAGATGATTCCAACATTCTGTGCTTGAGTTACTGTGAGGAGAAGAGTTGTGTTAAGTAACAAAAATAGGGAATAAAGACACTTAGAGGGGAAAATGAGTTCAAGTTTTGTATATAATGAGAATGACATGTATTGGTAGCCATGTGCGGCAGCCAGTCAGAAATAAGAACCTTGAGTTAAGGAGAAAGTAGATATTAGTAGAAAGACTAGAAAGAGAGTGACTTGAGAATCATCTGGAAAAAGAGGTGAAAATTAAACTTGTAAAAAATACATAATTCCAGAAAAAGAAAATATTGAAAAAGAAAAGAATGGACCTATAAAAAGAACTTGCAGCATATGTGCATGCTGGTGGTAAAAAGAAGAGAAGCTACTGAAGAAGACAGGAGAAATCTCAAGACAGGCAGAAAAAAAGTCAGACTAGTACAGAGGCATATGACCATTATAGGGGAAATTTTCAAAGAGATGGTGGCCCATATTATCAAGCAAAGGCATTAAGGATTATGAAGAATGAAAAAAGGCCAATAGCAGTTCATCAAAGTAATTAAGGTCAAGCTAGATTGCAAATGTGTTACAAAGCGAATGAAAACTGATGCAATTTAGAAAACAGACTGATTTTCAGAGTGGTATTCAGGGTACTGCATTTTAGATATTACTAATATTTAGGGTGGAATGTTAATTTAAGATGTGCCTGAAATACAATGTGATTCTGATAAAACATGTAGAAGAGTACCTGACACTTTTGTTCTCCAGCATTTATTCATCTTTCTTTCGGTAATCATACTTCATTTTCTGTCTAAAGAATTCCTTCTCTACCACGTGGGTTAGTTTAGGAGTAAAGCCAGTGACTTGTGAAAGTTTAGCCCTGGACCCTGTGACTGAGAGATAGGCATATCAACTAACTCTGAATTCACACCAAGAATACCACCTTCAAGCCTGTTATATGAAAAAAAAAAATTAGAAAAATTCCAAATAGTCCTAATTGAGCCAACCTGTAACATATTAAGCTGTAACAATGAAGAGAAAAAAGGTGCCTAAACAAAATTCCAATGAATGAAATCAAAGAACTAAACAAAGTGATATTCCATGTTCATGGATAAAGACTCAATATTGTCGTGAGGTCAATTCTTCCCAAATTGATCTTCAATTTCAGTCAAAATCCAAGCAAGTTGTTTTTTTTTTTTTGTGGATATGGAAAAACCGATTGTAAAGTTTTTATGAAGAGATAAAAAATCCAGAATGGTCAATACAATATGGAAGAAGAAAAAAGTTGGAAGATTAACACTATCTGACTTGAATATTTACTGCAAAGCTACAGTTATCAAGACTGTGGTATTTGCAAAAGAGACAAATCCATCAGTAGAACAGACTAGAGAGCTCAGAAATAGACCACACAAATATACAAAAGAACAAGGCAAAAAGGAGAAAAGATAGTCTTTTCTAGAAATGGTGCTGGAACAATTGAATAACTATGTTTTAAAAAATGAATCTATACATAGACGTTATGTCCTTTACAAAAATGAATTCAGAATGTATCACAAACATAAACGTAAAGCACAAAGCTATCAAACTTCAACAAGGAAATTTAGGAGAAAATCCAGATGACTTTGGATTTTGCAATGATTTTTTAGATAATAATATTAAAAGTGTAATACTAGAAAAAAAGAATTGATAAGCTGGAGTTCCTTAAAATTAAAAACTTGTGCTTTGTAAAAGACACTGCTAAGAGAATGAAAAGACACACAACATAGAATGGCAGAACATATTTGCAAATACATATTTGATAAAGAACTGTTATCCAAAATATACGAAGAACTCTTAAAACTCAATAATAAGAAAAAAACCCCAATTAAAAATAGTCAAAAGATTTGAAGAGACACTTCACCAAAGGAGATACACAGATGGCAAATAAACATGACAAGATGCTCAACATTATATATCTTTAGGGAGTTGCAAACTAAAACAACAACGAGAGAACACTTCAGACCTACCAGAATGGCAAAAGTCCAAAATACCTACAATGCTCAATGCTGGTTGGGAGGTGGAACAGCAGAAACTCTTATTCATTGTTGGTGGGAATACAAAATAGTACAACTACTTTGGAAAACAGTGTGGCAGTTTTTTACAAAGCTAAACATAATCTTACCATATGATCCAGTAATTGTGCTCCTTAGTATTTACACACCTGAAAACTTAAAAACTTATCTTCACACAAAAACCTGTTCATGGATGTTTATAGTCGCTTTATTCATAATCGCCAAAACATGGAAGCGACTCAGATGTTCTTCAGTAGGTGCATGGACAAATGAAAGGTGGTAGAACCAGACAATAAAATTTTATTCTACACTAAAAAAAAAAAAAAAAAGAGCTACATATACATGACAAGATATAGAGAAACCTAAATGCATCTTAATACATGAAAGAAGCCAATCTAAAAAGCTATATACTGTATGATTTCAACTACATAACATTCTGGTAAAAGCAAAACTATGTACACAGTAAAAAGATCAGTTGCTAAGGGTTAAAGGAGAGGGAGGGATGAATAAGTAAAACAGAGAGGACTTTTTAAGGCAGTGAAATTATTCTGTATAATACTACACTGGTTGACAAATGTCATCATACATTTGTCAAAACCCATATTATGTACAACACCAAGAATGAACCCTCATGTAAACTATGGACTTTGGGTGATAATAACGTGTCAATGTAGGTTCATCAGCTGTAACAAATGTACCACTCTATTGTAGGACATTGACAGTAGGGGAGGCTGTGAATGTGTGGAGGTAGAGGGTATATGGGAAATCTCCGCATCTTCTGCTCTGTTTTCGCTGTGAACTTAAAATCTAAAACATAAATTTTATTTTTTAGTAAAAGTTTTCTAAGGTCAACATAGGCAATACTGAAAAACAGCATTTTAAAAATCAGTTATAAAATAACTTGTAAGAGTTAAGGACATGCCTCATAATTGTCCAATAATGTTGAAACCCTTCAATCATGAATACATTTAAAACAAAAATGATAAATCACTTTGGCGACACCCAGTAGAATAAGCTTGACTGGCTAAATAAAGTGACTATCTTTTCATCATTTTCAAATGCCTCTCCATCATGACATTATTGGTAGGGAATGCAGCAAGAAAGAGAGGAGGGAAAGAAACTAGTGTGATAAAAAAAGAAATGCTACAGAAATGGGGTTTATAGATGAAATAAAAGAAAAAAAGGTCATAGGGAAGATGTGTTAACAAGAGAGAGTGAACCCCAAAAAAGTTGGCACTATTAATGAACACGCCATTGACATTTTCCCAATTAATAAATGGTTCCATTAACTTCTTCTAATGAAAGTATGTTTTTCTAAAAAAAAGGAGTCGTAAGAAAAAAAAAAAACTGTCATAGTAACTGAGAAAATACTGTGCAATTTTTTTGTACAGAAATGGTGGTTTAATGAACAATGTTCCGAAACACTTTTCAAAAATTATATATATAATTAGATGTTCTGTAGTTGTCAGGCACTGAGGACACCTGAAAAAAAAAAGAAGGAAAATGCACCATATTTATTCAGTGTCAGTGAATATGACACTTCAATGATGTAATACTGTTATCTAAAATACTGTTATCTTCGCAGCCTATTTCAGATAACAGTATTACTTCTTTGAGGTATCATACCGAAGACTAATGAAATATCAAAACAACAAGGTGAACAGTGAGCTATTCGGGTAGAGTGGAACATAGAATGGCTGGAGTGTCTACACATGAATTCAGTGCTTTTGACTTTGTGTATGTGTACATGGTAGCAAAAGTAGCAGAAAACTACAAGTTAGGGGTTCAAGTAAACCTGAAAAACATTTGGATAGTGTAACTTTATTCTTGTGGGGGTTACCAGCTTTTTGATAAAAGGTCACCAATAGTCATCATCCAGCCCAATTCCACAACCTATTTTCAATCCTGCCCATTGTCATTCTTCTGAAGAACTGGCACCAGCAATTATCCTCTCCTGTAGAAACCCTCTCATCTTGAGATTTTTGGCATTACCATTCTTTTCCTACTTTTGCCGAATTCTTGTTAATCCTCTTACTCCTTCAGATTTCCTATGATGTAAAATATGTAACTGTGGGTGTGCCTCAAGACTTGGGGGAAAGAACACTAATTATACATAAGACATTTTCCAATCCTTTTCTGTCACTACACTCATTTCACATAATTTCAGCTATCATTTTTATGGTAATTAATATAAAGCAACATCTGAAGGATCAGACCTCTCAATCAAGGAATATAATCCAGAACTTTATTCCACAAGATATCTTTAAATTAAAATTTTACTGTTATCTTGATCGCATATTTAAAATAAAACTCTTTATTGTAATTTTGCTTCACTTTCATCTTCCATTTGTACTTCTCTTTTCCTGGATATTTTTGTAAAGGTTTCATTTCTCCTTTTCCTCTCTTAACCTTTGAATAATGACGATCCAATTTAGCCTCAAACCCTTACCCTAATGCTTATGTACGGTAACTTAAATGTGATCCTGCTAGATGATTTAATATTTGGTTTTATATTGTCCTCTCATTGTTTAATGTATATACTATTCCCTTTTTAACTGACCTGCAAACTTTTCATAAGTGTAATATCTTTTGTATCATATATAACTCTCAAAACTATAAGCATTTGTAAAATTCTTAGTTATTGACTGAGGAGCTGGAAAAAAAAACACTAATGATAAAAATCAATTTTCTTTTTCCTGTCATCTGTTGTTACAGAATTATATATGCAAAGCCAATGCGTATATCTCAATTTTCTATCGAAATCACTGTGAGTCTTAGATTTACTTGCCTTGTCCTCCAAGTGCAATTCTAAGAAGCGTAGATAGGCCACAGGTGCAAATGCATCAGCTGAATGCATGACTACTTCTGACGAATCCCTGAAATACAAGAATTTTATAATACATTTATCTGCTACAAAAATTGTGACAAATCACTCCTACTGACTAGAAGAGACTGAACATTCTTGTTATATATTTATTTCCATTGGTATACAACATGTAGTGATTAATAAATATTTTTAATAATCCAATATTTCACTGGGAAAAGGTTCAAGTACACTAAGCTTTTAAGAAAAAACGATGAGGCTTTCTATCTTCATAAGAACATAAGAGTTCAACTTTCAGGTTCACTCAAAGCTCTCTGAACAATTTTAAGACTTAAATTCCTGTTCAATTTCATTTTCACATATTTGCTTGGCAGAGGCTAAGCATTAAACATTAGTGCTTTATCTTCATTATTCTTTTCATTTTCAAGAGGTAATTCATTCAATGTTTCACACAAAGTCTCAATTATCCTTCACAAAAGCAGTACTGGTGATGGTTTTAAGCTCTAGATGAACTCTTCACACTGCAGTATCATTGCTATTAAAATTGATTGTCTGACATAGTAATTACCACATTCAGGTAAAATGGTATGAACTGCATGCTGGCACCATATGGATACATGCAAATTAACTTGATTTTTATCAAAGATACCCTGTAAAGCACATATGAATAACTAAGATTACGTGTAAAGTTCTAATAGCTAATTATTTTTTATTATTTATTGAGAGTAATAATGTTTTGAACTTCAACTGAAAATTTAAAAATAGAAATTCCTCATATCACTTTAATGCCTTGGGAAGTACTTCTGTTGTTTATTTTAATAGTTAGCCTTTTGATCATTATAGTACAGCAAAATAAATCCTGACATTGACTTTTTGTCGCTAATGTAAAAATATTTTTGAATCGACTTGTGTCATGTAAAGTTACTTGGTGGCAATAGAAGAAATCTCAAAATATTTGGATCCAAATTATTAAACTTTCATAAGCAAAATGTTTACTTTCCACTTGAAAGATGAAGAAAAAAGTACATTTGATGATAAGAAACCCCAATTATCAGTCATGAACCTTTAGTATCAAATACGTATCTTTCTACTGCTTAGAAAAAATAACATTAAAAAGGTTTCCATGACATTAAAAGGAAAGCAACTTATAACAGACATAGAATCATTAAAGATTCAGCATCCTGATGGAAACATATAATTTGCCTTCACAGTCTACATCAACCAAAGATGCCTCCAGGTATGATGAGGAGGAGCAGCACAAAGAGGAAGTACAGACAAGGCCCTCCTGCTTGCTACCACCTGCCCCTCTGGCTTGACCCCAACTTGGTTTGTTAGCCCTAGTCTTACCATTTTTCCATTTCCTCCACAGTTGCCTGCTCTGGTCCTATCTTGGCTCTTGAATCAAACCTCAATTCCTATTATACAATCTTACTCTTAAATTAAATGCCAATATATCTGTTCCAGACCTTAGCCTTGGACATTGACCCTGAGCCTTAACTATGTCTAATTCAGGCAGCTTGGTTTTGATATTCTTGACGATGGGGTGTGCCAAAACTATAATTAATCTGAACTAATACTATCTCAGTAGAAAGGGTTTTAGGTCCTCCCTTCTCACGTCAGTTATCCCCACTAGAAACAGAGGGATGACAGCAAATAGCAAATGATCTGAAGCAGGATTATTATCCAGAGAGAATATATGACATTCTGAGCACTAAATGAAGACGACTGTGGTTTTTATAAATTCTATTAAATTCATAATCTCTAATTGACTAACATCATTTCATTCACTTATACAAAGCAAGAGTCAACCAGGAGAGACTAGATTTCAAATGAACAGCTTTTAGTTTCAAGCAGAATAATACCACTCACAATTGCTCTCAATGATACTCAAACTTCAAGGAACTCTGGTCTTTGCTTCGTGGATTTCTCTGAATCCTGAAAGCAGAATCTGTCAGAATATCCTCAGATTAATCCAGAAAACTAAGACAATTGTGCCACAGCAAAAATGCTTCCCAGCTGGCTGTCCTCCTTTCCTTTCTCCATTAGTCAGTGCAGCAGTTACCACTTGTCATATAGGTAGGTCTTTTCCACAGCCAAGAGCAGGCCCATGTTCTCTTTCATCACTACACTAGGCTCACCCATACTTAACAACATTAAATGGGCAGCTGGGTTTGACTTGGGCCTCTCTTCCTTGATACTAGCCTCCTGAGGTGTGGGGTCGGGCCCTGCCTCTCACCTCAAAAACAAAAAAAATGGTATTCCCTCTTGAGACTCGGCCATGGTCTTTGTCCCCACCTCTCCTCTCAAAGGACAACTATGCTAGGCTGGGACTGAACCACTGTTTACCTCTCTTGCTCAAACATATGGTTTCTGTATTCACTAAAACGTATACAGATATCCCCGACAGACTCACACTTATCCTCAGACATCTCAAATGTTATTTCCATGAAGCCTTCCCTGACATCCTCAGACACTGCTAGTTTTCTCCTTTATGTGCTTAGTATCCCATTTATAGCCCTTTCATAACATATCCACTACATTATAATTACGTGTGTGTGTGCCCTTCTTCTGAGAGAGGAACCAGTTTTGTTCATCTTTGTCTGCCTGATCCTGTTCTACCCCACCCGGAGCTCTGTATAAAGTACACTGTCTAATATTCATTAGATATTTGTTGAATAAATGAACGTACAGTTAAACTTTGTTAACTATCCTCACAATTGCACACTAATTAGTGAAACTATCAGAAACTCACGATGATTTTTCAATTATCTATCTTCATGTGAATATAGTCATGCACCACATAATGCTATTTTTGGTTAAAGGCCGACTGGGTATTACAGTGGTGCCATAAGATTATAATGGAGCGGAAAAATTCCTATCACCTAGTGACATCATAGCTGTCATAATGTTGTAGTACAATTTTATTTTTAAAAGGAATTTAGTGTAGCCTAAGTGTACAGTGCTTTTCAAGTCTACAGTAGTGTACAGTAATGTCCTAGGTCTTCACAGTCACTCACCACTCACTCACTGACTTACCCAGAGCAACTTCCAGTCCTGTAAGCTCCATTCATGTTAACTGCCCTATACAGACAGCTGTACCATTTAAAAATGTTTTCATATGATATTTTTACTATACCTTTTCTATGCTTAGATACATTTAAATATACAAATATTTACCACTGTGTTACAGTTATTCAGTCTCCAGTACAGTAATATGGTGTCCAGGTTTGTAGTCTAGGAGCATATAGCCTAGGTGTGTAGTAGGCTATACCATCTATATTTGTGTAAGTACACTCTGGTGCTTGTGAAATGACAAAATTGCCTAACAATGCATTTATCAGAATGTTTCCACATTGTTAAGTGTCTCATGACTGTACACACTTTCTCATACATGCATACTGCATATATAAACATATTCATGTATGCACATATATATATATATACACCAATAACACTATATGATATCTCTACCATAATAAAAATAAAGATTAGTAGGACTGAAAATTTAAATATAAGGAAAACAGCTCATAAATGTAAATAAATTCTCAGATGACACAGAATCAGTGTAAGAAAGCAAATAAGATAAAGTACTTGCTTTATCCTCATTTTGAAACACTGCATTACTGTGTTCTGTACTGAGTTACGCCTTGAGGGGCAGAAAACACGAGTAGATGGAGATGAAAATGAGGATAAAGTGTTTTAACCATAGGATTTGGTTCTTCCTTTCTTCTTTTTTCATTCTTATTCTTCCATCCATCCATCCATCCATCATCTATCCATCCATCCATCCATCATCTATCCATCCCATTTATGTGGCAACTTTGCAGCAGTAATACAGTGATATTGATGAATAAAACAGAACTATAGAATTGTCTCAAATACTGACATAAAAACATATACACAAACCAAGAGAAGAAAATGATTACTTTCATTAACAGAACCTTAAGACTTTAGTTATTAATATACATATATATGTAAACTAAGTAATAAGAGAGCAGGTTTCTAATTTGAGGACCTACAATTATCCTTTTCTCTTAAAAGTTAGGCTATAATTCTTCTCAGGAGGGCTTCTCAGGGAAAAAGCTCATTTTCTCATCTCATAATTTGTATCTAGAGGTGAATGACTTCATATATCAATGGACACAAAAAGTGACTTGTAAATTGTTCTAGGTAAAAATATAAAAAATTATTTCCAGACAAAGGCTGTTATACTAGTCTTTCCTAAAAACATTTTAAAATGTTAATTGGAATTTGGGCAAAAAGTATCTCATAATAAACTTCAATTTATTTATTATTTTTTATTATTGTTATTCACACCGTATTTTTTTTTTTAGAGACAGGGTCTTGCAATGTTGCCCAGGTTGGAGTTCTGTGGTGCAATTATAGACGATTGCAGCCTCAAACTCCTGGCCTCAAGTGATCTTCTTGCCCTGCCCAAAGGGTTGTGATTACAAGCGTGAGCCACTGAACCTGGCATAATAAACTTATAGAACCAAATTGATGTCTCTAAATTACTTTATTATAGAAAACAGTTTCAATCGTGGAATCTACAAAGAACTTAAACAAATTCACAAGAAAAAAACAACTCCATCAAAAAGTGGGCAAAGGATATAAACAGACACTTCTCAAAAGAAGACGTCTATGCAGTCAACAGACATATGAAAAAATGCTCATCATCACTGGTGAGAAATGCCAATCAAAACCACAATGAGATACCATCTCACGCCAGTTAAGACTGGCAATCACTGAAAAGTCGGAAAACAACAGATGTTGGAGAGGATGTGGAGAAATAGGAACACTTTTACACTGTTGGTGGGAGTATAAATTAGTCCAACCATTGTGGAAGACAGTGTGGCCATTCCTCAAGGATCTAGAACTAGAAATACGATTTGACCCAGCAATCTCATTACTAGGTATATACCCAAATGATTATAAATCATTCTACTATAAAGACACATGCACACGTATGTTTACTGCGGCACTATTCACAATAGCAAAGACTTGGAACCAACCCAAATGTCCATGAACAACAGACTGGATAAAGAAAATGCGGCACATATACACCATGGAATACCATGCAGCCAGAAAGAAGGATGAGTTCATGTCCTTTCAGGGACGTGGATGAAGCTGGAAGCCATCATTCTCAGCAAACTATCACAAAAACAGAAAACCAAACACTGCATGTTCTCACTCATAAGTGGGAGTTGAACAATGAGAACACATGGACACAGGGAGGGGAACATCACACACCGGCGCCTGTTGGGGGTGGGAGGCTAGGGGAAGGATAACATTAGGAGAAATACCTAATGTAGGTGATGGGTTGATGGGTGCAGCAAACCACCACGGCATGTGTATACCTATGGTAACAAACCTGCACGTTCTGCACATGTACCCCAGAACTTAAAAGTATAATTTAAAAACAAACAAACAAAACCCTGAGGTGTTGGTACAACTGCATACTCTCTTGGGACTTTGAAGGAGAATCTGTTCCTTGCTTTTTCTAGCTTTTACAAGCTTCCCACATTTCTTGGCTCATGGCTCCACGTCTCTCTATTCTACTTTTGTTGTTACATCCCCTTCTCTGACTCAGACCCTCCTGCCTCTTTCTTCTAAGGATCCTCATGATCGCATTGGCCCACCTGGCCCCTCCTCACCAAAAAAAGATATCTAATAATAATCAAAGAAATCTGCATGCAAAAATTTATTTTTTCTCACCTTAGAGGTAGTCTTTTTTTATAAAAAATAAAATGTCATTTGAATCAGATGTTTGAAATGGGATTCCTAATAAATGATTAGTTGCATGCTAATTGTGGCAGACCACTATTGCATCAAATGTAACAAAAGTTATTAAATTTGTCCCCAAAATGAATTCTAAATGACTGGATCCAAAATTATTAATACTCAATTGTTAAAACACAGTTATAGGAACCAAGCTCATCTTTTATTTGTATCATATGGAAGATTGTATCTAAATAGTATAACTTTCATTCACATACAGTTTTAGAATGCACAAAACATGTTCACTCACATCTTTGCATTTATTGTATATCAGGCAGGTATGCTTAGGACATTTCAATTTTAAAGAGGAGGGGAGATTTTGTTTACATTAAGTGATATTGTTTTTCTGCCCATTGAGGATATTTCCCAACCTATAACTTCAAGTTATAACCTAAGAAAGGAATATATATAAGTACGTAAAACAGCATATATAAACAAAAATAAACAACAACAAATTACAAATTAGTCCAACAATATTTAGCACATAGCCTAACGTATGCTCTGACAAGTATGGGAACAAGCACTGGAGGCAATGGCAGCCAAAGCATATAAAAATGAAAAGATTTAGCAAAGTGATAAGAAATGAGAAGGCAATCTAGAGAAAAGGTATCACAAAAGAAAAGTATGAAGCTGAAGTGAGGCATAGCTTATGAAGAAAAAAATAAGCAAAGAACATGCGTAAGTATCAGAATGAGATTGGTGATTAACTCACAAATGAGTAAGAATGAAAAGACAGGGTCTCCTTTGTGTTTACAAGGTACACACCTGCATGGTAGCACCTATCACTTATTGTCGATTTGCCTGTCCATCTCCTCGGTTACAGGAAGAACTCCTACAGAGCAGGGCAGCAACTTGCGGAGTTCTACTCACGCTTTGCAGTGAACAGTTCATTTTAGCACTAGAGGGTTCTAACCACCTTCCCTGACAACTTCTCTTTAACAGCATGAGTAATTCCCTTCATGCCACTGTCTCTATCAGGCTTAGGTTTCCTTGTCTACAAAATGAGGAGGTTGAAAAGGATTCATATTCTAGGTCTAAAGTACTATGATAAACAGATCTTCTGGTTATGTAGAGTAAAGCAGTACATGTCTTGTAATTCCACGTTGCCCATAAAGACTTCCAGGTGCTCTGGGGCCTCAATTTGTCTGGCAAATGGAGAAAGTATTATTCTTTGGCATGTTTTCCTCTTATTGCTGTGCTTTTTTTTTTTTTCTAATTTGGTTAGTCCCATATTAATAAGTAAATATATCCCAAAGTTTCTACTACAATTTCACCCTAGCATGCAAATGTTTTTCTTGAATAATATAACAGTATTATTTCACAGAAGTAATAACTTATCAATAGTTGATTCATTAATTGTTTTGTGATCATCAAGGGCAAAAAAAATATGTGCTCTCCCATGAATAAACTTATGACTTATTTTTTACCATCTTGTATTATAATTACACACAGATGTCTTTTTCCACCGCTTTGAAGGCAGAAACTATTTCAACATCAGTGGTGCCCAGGAAAACACACTTTGGAGGTAATAGGTATTTGATGAGTATTTGTCAAACAAATAATGATTATGGTGATTATTAATGGAAAAGAAATTAGAATAATATGAAAGAAGCAAGAATGCATGAATACTGCATATGGTAATGAAAATGTCTTGTCATATTATACAAAATAAATGCATTTTTTAAGAAAATCCACCTAGAGTTGTTGTCTTTTCTTAGATCACGCCTTCCGTCATTATTAATATGTACAAAGAGGTGAAGTCTTAGTGTTAGAAATATTGAAGCCTTCCATTCAATCAAGCCTAACTCTGACAGTCTTTTCCACGATGCATACAGGCTTAAGAAAAGCAGATAAAGTGTTCTCTTAGCATATAAAAAGAGCAACATAAATTAGAGCATGGATAATAAGGTAACAAACTGAAGAAAGTTTCTGTTTTTCACTACACTAACTTTAACAATTTATGGCAAACAAATCATACTACTCACCATCAACTAAATTCATTTAAAAACAAAGTTTATTTGTAAAAATAACCCCAAATAACTGAAGAGAAACGTTTAGCATTACCATTCTAAGTTGTTAAAGCCAGGAAAAAGAAAAAAGAGGATGGAGTTAATGGAACCCACAGGTTACTGATGTGGCAGTTTATCAAATGTAGCTGTAATGAAAGATAAATAATACAGGCAATTCACACTTCATGAAAGGATAAAAGTGTCAGTGTGTAGGTACCAGTTTTACTGCAGGCCATAATCAGCAAGTAAACGAAAGTGCAATGTCTAAAAAGTTTATAGTCTTCTATGAAGGCCTCGTCTTGTCAGGTATTGATTTAGGTTTTCAGACGACTTCACTGGTATTAAACAAATTGAGTGTTTGTGAACTTAGAGGACATGTTCTATTTTTCCCAACAAAAGTTGCCTCAAGCTTAATGTTAAGTTGCTTCCATCACTTAAATTTATGGGAAAAAAAAGAAAATGCTGAAATGATATCTTACACAATTATTTTCTTCTTAAATAAAGGGCAATCCAAAGTGAAAGTTTCATACTCTCCACCTTCTCCACAAACATGTACTCCATACTTCTTAGAAAGCTGAAAAAGGAAAACACAAAAAACAAGAAAGAAGTTTGAAATTAGACAGCATAAATGCTATCTTATTTGGTCCTAAAAAATCCATACAAAAAACTTTAATTCCAAAATAGTTTGCAAGGTAAGGAAAACGAATTACATTTCTGCTTAAAACATGTTTAAAGTCATTTCAAAAATGTTATCATAAGGCATAGGATCTCTAAGAATGCCAAAACCCTTACAAAAAAATAACATTAAGATTATTGTAAATTTGGGGAATGACACTAGCTTTAGATTCAAAGCTAGATTCAGTCATAAAGTAGTAAACAAAAATGTATGCAGCTAAATTGGCCTCCCCCAACTCTTTGCCTTTAAGTGGAAGGAATAAAAAAGTTGTGTTTAGAGAATTTCTCAAGAATACAGAAGAAGCAATATAAGGCTTTTCCTTAGGCCCATGAACAAAAAGAAGTCACATATAGGTTTATTATGCTTGCAGTTATTATTAGGAAAGTTCCAAGGGCACTGAGAACTAGTAAAATTCCAAAGCTGCAGACAAGCCTTAAGAAGGTCCAACTCCAAGAAAGGTCGAGTAACTTACAAATTTGTCTAATCAAACCTGAAATTAAAACAAACAAACAAACAAAAGAAACCAAGCAGCAAAACAAAAAAACCTATGACTTGCATTAAATACAAGCCATACTATTTAAATAGTCTTGATATTGAGAGTAAAAAAATCTCCTATCTGTTTGGCATACGTCTGGCATCAGTGCTGGGAAGCACTCTCCTTTCTACTCTGTGCTAATGACCCTTTCTAACAACTTTCCACCAAACGAACCTTCTAGTCGCATCTTAATGACTTATGACCACTCTCTTTATGTGGGGAGTATACCTTATCATTTATTAGCATTCTTTCATTAGAAAATGTTTTACTGAAGTTCTACATAATTTCTGTAATCCACCACCAAGGAATAACTAGAGTTTTAAAACTAAATTTAGTATAGTTATTATCCCATAGAAGTGGTTCTCTTAGTCCCTAGTAAAATAATGTAAGCTGCTATGTTAAACCAAAATATTACCATTATAAAATACTCATATATCCCAGAGGTGACTTATTAAAATCTGGATGTACCCAGTGATATTTTCAATTCACATAAAATATTTCTATCACATTCATTTGTTCAGTCAGTTCTTCAACAAACACTTTTTGAACAATAATTATTAGCCAGGCCTTGCTAGATGATGAAGCCGCAAAAGTAAACAAGATAATGAGACAATCTCCTTCGTCTCTTGAAGCTTACCAAATATACTGTACTCTATATTTTAACATAACACACTAATGATGCAACAGTGACGTTGCCTCTAAAAATGAAAATGCACAATCTCTTCTCCCTTTCCATTACTGATTCACTAGTATTGACACATAGGTTCCAAGTCAAGAAATTGGGATAAAGAACCCAGTGGTTTCTATGGCTGAAGAACCAAGAAATAGTATGATGAAATCCTTACAATATCTTTTGTGGCCTCTCTAAACTCCACTAGCTTCAAGCTCTAACAGACATAAGTACTCAGAGAAAAATTCATCTTTGTTGGATTACTTTTAGCCAGCTCGAAGGCCCTTTGATGTCTTGAGAGAACCTCCTCAAGAAGTAAAGCCTATGCCAGCCACTTTCTTTAATGAATCTGCTAAGACACAGCACCTTATGAAAAAGCAGAATCTTTGCAGCACAAAAGCATGATGTATGCATGCGACAGAAAGGTCAGTTTAGGTACGTGAAGCATCCAGATGAGCACATTCCAGAGACTTATTTATGGTGTACAACCTTTCTATTTACCTTTCTAAAAGTTAGTGTTACTAATATTTACACTGTTCATAGAAAACAGCAACTTTATTCCTAATCTATCTCAGGTCTGTCTCTGGCTTCGACTCAAAATTTGGATTATTGTATCCTAGCACTTAATCATTCCAAATGCAATTTTTGCCATTCTCTTTGATAAGTTTCTCTATCAGTATCATTGTAATGAAAAATACTAAGTCACTAACAGATTTTTGAAAAGTTTAATTTCTCAATGAATTTTCATGATTCATTTCATAATTTAAGTACATAAAATAACAAACTACATTGAAAAATACATAGTTTTCATGCCATCTATTCTTTAAGTTATTGTTATATGGATGTATTTAAAGCTATGACATTTGATAAGTTCATTAAGAAAAGTATAGAGAGAACTTTAAGGCCGAGGCCAGGAATTAGATGCTAATAGCCTTCAAAGTCATGACAATCAAAGATGTCTGCAGACATTGCCAGGTGTCATTGGTGGAAAAAAAAAAATCCCAGCTACTCAGGAGGCTGAGGCTGGAGAATCACTTGAACTTAGGAGGCGGAGGTTGCAGTGAGCCGAGATCACACCATTGCACTCCAGCCTGAGGGTCAAGAGTGAAACTCCGTCTCAAAAAAATAAAAATAAAAATAAAAAATCACCCCTCATTGAGAACCACCGGCATAGCTGTTACCACCCCTATACCTGCAGGGATGAACAGAAGGAACATCTACAAATGGGATCTAATTAAACTAGAGCGCTTCTGCATAGCAAAAGAAACTATCATCAGAGTGACCAGGCAACCTACAGAATGGGAGAAAATTTTTGCAATCTACCCATCTGACAAAGGGCAATATCCAGAATCTACAAGGAACTTAAACAAATTTACAAGAAAAAAACAACCCCACCAAAAAGGTGAAGAATATGAACAGACACTTCTCAAAAGAAGACATTTATGTGGCCAAGAAACATATGAAAAAAAGCTCATCATTGGTCATTAGAGAAATGCCAATCAAAACCACAATGAGATACCATCTCACATCAGTTAGATTGGCGATCATGAAAAAGTCAGGAAACAACAGATGCTGGAGAGGATGTAGAGAATTAGGAATGCTTTTACACTGTTGGTGGGAGTATAAATTAGTTCAACCATTGTGGAAGACAGTGTGGCGATTCCTTAAAGATCTAGAACTAGAAATACCACTTGACCCGGCAATCCCATTACTGGGTATATACCCAAAGGATTATAAATCATTCTACTATAAAGACACATGCATACGTATGTTTACTGCAGCACGTTCACAATAGCAAAGACTTGGAACCAACCCAAATGCCCATCAATAATAGACTGGATAAAGAAAATGTGGCACATATATACCATGGAGTCATATGCAGCCATAAAAAAAGGATGAGTTCATGGCCTTTGCAGGGATGTGGATGAAGTTGGAAACCATCATTCTCAGTAAACTAACACAGGAACAGAAAACCAAACACTACATCTTCTCACTCATAAGTGAGATGAGAACACATGGATACAGGGAGGGCAACATCACACACCAGGGCCTGTTGGGGGGTCGGGGTCTAGGGGAGGGATAGCATTAGGAGAAATACCTAATGTAGATAACGGGTTGATGGTTGCAGCAAACCACCATGGCACGTGTATACCTATGTAACAAACCTGCACATTCTGCACATGTATTCCAGAACTTAAAGTATAATAATAATAAAAAAAAAAGGCAATACGATTTCTTTAAAAACTTATTTAATAATTTTCATTTGTATAAAAGTGTGTTTATTGTTTCACATATATCTAAATTGTGCTGTGTTCTCTTTCAGAGAAGGTGAAAATTGGGTTGCCATCTAATGTTAGGGTAAGCTTTGAAAACATTTGAACAGATGTGGCTAACTTGGGTGATTTCATGGTTTGTAAGAATGCCTTGAAGTCTCAGCATTTTAAAAATGAATTCCAAGTAAATTAAAAAGAAATTACTTACATGAATCTATTTTTTTTCTGGCACACTTATTTATATAGATAAATATTCGTATTCATAATACTTTCAATGGAATACTGCTGATTATTAACTGAATGGCTAAGAGTATCATGATTTCCCCTACATTGTAATAATCACAACTGTTGAATTTATTAAATCAAACTTTTTCTTCTTTTAAATCAGTCTCATTTATCTGTTAGTCATTTTAAAATGGAAAAAAAGAAGCCAAACTCATACTTCTTACCTCCACCCTCACCGAGAGGAAACAATGAGGTTTACAAAAATCACAATTTCATTTTATAAATGGTATTCTCAACACAGAAGATAATTCATTCATAACACTTATTAAGGATGTATTTCTTGAATATCTACTACAGCTTTAGTAGTGTTTTAGGTACTAGGGATAAAAATGGGAGCAGCCATGTATCTTGCATAAAATAGCTTATTGTCTTGTACAGACAGAAAGTTAAATGAGCAATTACAATATAGGGTAGTGATTATTTTGGCAGGTGCATGAAATGCTGTGGCAGTATAAAGCAGGGTACCTAACTAAAAGGAACTTAAAAGGCTTCTCAAAGTAAACAAAACTTAAGCTGAGTTCTAAAGGATTAAGTTAACCCTGAAAGATGGAAGGGGGAATAGAGAAGGCAAGAGAGAAGGAACGAATATTCCAGAAGAAACTGTACATGTTAAATCCCAGAGCACATGGTAGGTACTAGAAATTTGAGTTTGGCATAGCTGAGCATAACTGGATGAGTAATGGCAGTGAGACAAGGCTGAAAGGCTAGACAGAGGACAGGTCTTACATGGCTTCATAAGCCACGCTAAGTCATTATCCTAAGGTCAGAGATAACCCTTGGAGAGGTTTTAAGCAAAAAACTGACCTTACTGCATCTGTATTTTAGAAACATCATTTTGGATGAATGATGGAGAATGGGCCCAGATGTAAGTCTAGAAGCAAAAAGAACTGAGCAGTTGCTGGAGGAACCTAAGCAGGAGGTGAAGGTTTCCCAAGCTGGCAAGTAGCAGTGGGGATGGAGAGGAGAGAGTAGATATTTTGAGAGATTTTCTTCGGAGGCTGAAACTGTAGGAGAGTAAATGTAATATCTCTTCCTCTTCCATCACAACGTTCATGGTTGAGGACTTTATGACAAAAGATGAATTAGAAGAGAAAAGCAGAAAAGCATACAAATTTATCTAATAAGTTTTATGTGA